CAACCACACACAGGTTACAGCCAGGTCCTGATTGAAGCTTCTGGCCTTTCCTGAAAGCAAAAATCAAATTTTCCTCCACAAATCTTGCCATCTAAAAATGCCATAAGCACATGAGACAATAGCTTTTGACCCAAGGGTTGTGTCCAGATTGAATTCTGGAGGTTTTATGAATACTGTCATTTCAGGTTCCCCTCGGTATGCCCAGCAAAGGTCCGCTAAAGGCCACCCCGCTTATAGAAAACTATGAAAAGTCATTGCTGTCCAAAAAGTCACCTTGCACTTAACCAAATATGGGAATAACTAGGGATCATATCAGTGAACAAAATTGTTTCGTTTCTTCGCTAGTGACCAGCATTTTATGTACATTTGACCCGACCATAGAAAAAAATCACTTGTATGTCTACAGAAGAAACATACACCACAATAATGTGACATTAAAAGCTACTGTATGTGGAATGTTCCTTGCATGATCAATACCTAGCTACATTGGCGGTGTTGAACCAAGTTTGCCAACGGCCAAACCCTGCAACCTTCAATTGATGCACCATGATTACCATCATGAGTGATCGAAATAAACTGTAATGCACTGTATGTATTGGCTGGAGAATGCATCCTGGCAAAACCAATCCATTTTCCCCACAGCTTAATAGATTTATTAATTTGTCTTAAGAGCCTTTTACACTTGATTTTCCTAATGCAGATGGAGCAGCGATGCCCTGATTTGAAACTTTGATTCCCTATTACAGATCACTTAACATGTGACGTTCGCGGGGAAATTCCATCAACGTGCAAATGAGTAGTTTAGAAGTGACGGCTCCACAAGGTGATCGGAAATCACGGCACGTGAAGAAACAATATGTAACGGCACTCGATACGCCACAGCGAGCAATCAAGTGTTATTTGTTGGTCTTGGGAGAGTGGGAAAATGAAGGGATCTATCAAGGCGGCAGGAATTGTTAGATTTGACCGTCAATTTTACTGCCAGGCTCGTTTGTCAAACAATAAAAACGCAGACCATGCGGAAAAGTGTGGGAGTTTGGGGAGAAGTCGGCATATTATCTGTCAATAATCCCTGAAGGAGTGAACCTCAACATTAACACTTCTTAACAGAGCAGCCTGACTGGGAATACAGTATTTTTGCTTATCTAAGCTTAGATGGACGGCAAATGCTTTTAATGAATAAAAAGAGCTGCAGTCTGGGTGTAGAATTTATTTTTGTTAATAGCTTGTCTTGACTTTAGACTTTAATAGGCCAAAATTTTGTTTTATTTACATGCAAGCAACATTTGATTTTTGCAAACTGAAACCAGACAATTCAGTCTGCCCCCTTTCACTCAGCAAACCTTCTGTAAAATTTTTAACAAATTTGTAAGATTATTCTTGGACAGAATCCTGGCCTACATTAACTACACAAACCATAAATATAGGCAGGACCTATGGATATTCTATAATGATGGGAAGGGGACCTTTTGTATAAGGATTCAGAGAAATTACTTTTAAACCTCATGCATTGCTGCAGCAGAGAATGGTTGGCTTCTGTTTACTCACAGCTACTGACGCTTGAAACATTGAATGAGAAGTAAGTTGTACAATATTGTATGTTCCAAACTCAGTCTCTGTGTGCAACGGCAAAGGAAGAGAGGATTGGGAATGACGGCCAGATCAAGAGACTGGTGTACAAGGAAGAAGGCAGTGAGAATGGAAAGGTATGTACTACATTGTATTCATTTCATTTCATTTATGCATCTGGTATGTTTTGTGTAATTAACCCTGACCAGTTTGGATGTGAAAAGACACAGGGAATTTCAGGTAATGTAATTGACTTAAAAGGTTAACTCAATATCTTTTTAACTGTGAAATGTAGTGGCTTGACTGTACATTCAGTAACAGGCTTAACTACAAGGTTTAAAAGTTAATTAGATTTTTCAAATTCCCAGTGACTTTTCAAGTCTAAAGTGACCAGTGTTAATTGGTTTGTGTGTTCTCCATACTAAGCATTTTTGTTAATTTGTGCTGGAAGTGAGACAAACTATGGTTAATGAAGTCTGTTTCTATGAAGCACATTTTCTTTGAAGTCTGCGAAGAAATCATTATTGTATAGAAGTGATACAAAGATCTACAGTCTCTGACAATAAAAGTGTAACACTAGTATGTGCATGTGTCTGCAACATTGATGAAAAACCTGGCTGATGTTTATGTGATTTTTTGTTTGTTTATCTAATTGCAGGTGGTGCTGACCCTGGAGAAGAAGGTGTTTGACCACTTCAACCAGGAAGTCTTTATCAATGACTTTAAATGGGTAAGTGGCATCTTGTAATAAAATATCTTCTTCAATCTGATAATAACTTCAGGGGAAAAAAGCAATATTAACAAAGGGACTTAATTATTTTTAAGGTAGACATTTGTTCAACTCTTCGCTCTGTCCTTACGGTACTTTACTATTTTGCTGTTGTTGTAATTCACTGTGATGTTTACTATAATGTTTAATCCCATACCCCATTATATTGTTCCTTTTGGCTTGGAAGTTATATTGATCCTGAAGAATGTCTATGTATACCAAGCCTAGAATGAAGGCTTTTATCCAATTTTAAAAATGTATCTGCAAATCATGTCCATTTTTTCCATATCCACATCCTTTGATACCCTTATAATGCTGGTGATGTAATGGACCCGTAGTCTATATTTTGGCCCTCTTTCAACATAAAAAGTACATCTGTCTCCACTCTCTGTAAAGGAACAGGCAGTGTGGATGTCTCCTGAAGACAGAACATCACAGATGTGGTCAGAATGAGTTTTTCTAACAGAATTGGCCACAGTCCTCCCTTGATGTACCATGGACTATGATTTTGCCATCTATCCTTCAGGCGGCTCAAAGGGTGGAAGGTTTTATCCTGGGCAGATGGTGGGGAAGTGAAAGTTCAGACTCGTTAATTTGTGATGAAAGTAGAGGTGTTAACACGATTGGTTCCAAGGATATTCTCCATCTTTTTGTCTTGTAGCAACAGCAGGTACATATATAAGACACTCAGGCTCTTAACTCTGGTAAAGTGGTATCTTGTACTACCGGTATGTGATTTTCAAAACATGTATTTGACTGAGTGCTTGGAGAGCCATATCATATGTTTAAAATTTATTGCTCAGATGTGTTGGGAGATATTTGACATTCCACACTCCCTACACCAGTCCTTCATAGCAATCTGTGCTAGGTTTGTGTCAAAATTTGACTTTCTTTAGCCATCAACCAACACTAACCTATTATTTAGTGGGATTGTATTTTTTTCATCTTGGCTGACAGTGTTGTGATCCATCGACTTGGTCTTTCAACCCGGCCACGTACCTTGGCAACACACCCTGTACTCAATGGTTTATCCTTCTGCTCCTGGTTGAAAGTTTTGCACATATGGTGTACCAGTTCAGTAATATGCAGTTTCCTCCCGCATCATAATGCCCACCAGTACATCCCAGGCATTCATCTTCATTGTTACCTCATTACAGCTTCTTATGCTCTGTCTGGAACAAATTCAATTAGTGAAACTTTCTTGAACTTGCTCCTCTGTAATGGACAGATGGTGAAGCAAGGCACAAATCAAAAGCTTCCAGATGCTTTCCTCCTAAGCTCTGAGCAAAGCTGTTCCAGGATAACTAACAAAAGAAAACTTCTCGAGAAAGGATTACTTCCTTTGGTCAGAAGTTGCTCTCCTCTTGTTGATTAAAGATCATGATTGTTTAGTGAATTACCAAATATCACTTAAGTGCAGCCTAATGCTGTAAGTAGCATTCAACTAAAAGCAACAACTTTGTCATCATTTGATAATCATTTCCTTGTATACCTATACCCAAACAATTTGATCTCATTCCTGGTTCCGGAGGTACCGCTTGCAGAGTCCTACACCGGGCCAGACAGGAGTGGACATAAATCTCAATTAGATCTTCATTATCAACGGGTGGCCAAAGCGGAACCAATCATGGTACAAAACTTGGTGTTGACTCACGCTGGGCCCTGATACATATCCCAAACCCTGCAGCCATCCCAAACAATGGTGGGGCCATCAGTCAGGAGTATGATTGTTATACAATGTAGGATCTTTGAAAGACAGAAGAGACTATGTACTGAAGTTGACCATCAAGAGAGTCTTGCTATTGTGCCAGTGTCAAACATTTAGATGTATGTTTGATCTATATAACAGTTAACTCTAGAACCACAAGAGTTTGTCTCAGACCACATGTGATATACATGTATACCTTTATCTAAGAGATATTTGAGTTAAGTATGAATACCTTAGGTCAATATTGTTGAAAGTGCTTACCCTTACGTAGCCAATATGTCCCTAATTGTATTTACAATTTCTTAATGCTCCTTAGTCCCATGTATGACAGGAAAAAGTACTTCTTTGTATCTTATGCATGTTAAATGTGTTTCTGGGTATAAGCTTTTAAACACTTTGTTGCCAGTATAAGGCAAATTGCATTCACCATGCACTTAATGGGCCAATGGCACAGATGACATTTTAATGTGCAATTGTACTTATTTCTTTGCACATGGACTACAAATCGATTCAGATATACCATACAGTTTTTTGCTTGATAGTATCCAATATGATCCCTTGTGAGTTTTAGTGTACAAAAAATTTGACCATGGAGATAGGGTGTAATGTAACGTTTTTAATTCGAATCTTCTTAGTGTAACTATGAATATTGTCTGATTAGAGTTAATTGGCAATTAAAGCTTTTGGAGGTCTATATCTAGTATTAACATTCAATATATATAACTTAAGCAGTGTTTGTGAAAGTAGAATATTTTTTTTACTGAAAGTGGGAGGATGTGCTGCAGTTCCGTCACTAGGGGGCCTCATTTTGTAAAACATGGATAGCTGAAGGATGGTCCACAAATGTCCAGGTATCAGTTCACAGAGTAAACAGATGACAGACATGGTTTTAAATTTCAACAGTAATTACTGCTTTAAGATTATTTTGATTACTTAGAGAATGGTCTTGTAAGATGCATGTAATTTTGCAATCATCAGTGTACCTTGAACCTAATATCCATTGAAGTTATAGATTCTGACATTCTGTTCTACTGAACGTTTTGTCATTTCTTTGAACTGAACGTCTGTATGGAACTTTGTCAAATAGTTGCTGTAGAGATACTTGGGAGCTCATGATGGTGTGGTTCCTAGGCTTTGGTGAGATGGGTTTCAATCTCACTGTCAAATTCAGGATCACGTAGGCTACAAGGACACCCAATCAAGCACCTTCCCAAGGGGAGCAGCCATCTCAATTATACCAAATAGCCTGCCGAAACATCATGCCAACTTCACCACTGTTTATGGCACTCCTCCCAACCATAATAATCAGGAAGATTAGATGTATTAAACATTTCCAGCCTGCTTTCATTGTGTTCAACTTGTTGCATTTTGTAATTGGATATTTCAAATTCTTACCAGCCATATTGCACTTGGCCTTATTATGCCAATTTGTCAGAAAGTTATTTGGAACCAATAGTCTTGTAAATTTGAAGTGCATTCATTGAGAGATGTGGGAAAACAAAACTCATGATTTCACACCATCTTTGAAAACAGGCGAAGAGTTGGCAATTCTTGTCAATGTGTAATTTTTCAGCACCAAGGAGAGAGCACGTCATGCAGTTTTTTCAGGCCCTAACTGACTTCAGTACCAAGATAACTGAATTTAGATATCACATTATGTTTGAAATAACCTGAAATGAAAAAAAGCCAAAAGATATCCTCGCATGTTAAACAAGGAAACCCACCCCAAGTATGCCAAAACAAAGCAATATTAAAGTGACAAAGCAAAATCTCTATTTCAACCTATTACCTGAAACCATAGAGAGTTGGTAGCCAACCAGCTACTTCAGTGTGCTAAAGGTGAAAACAGGGAAAACATTTTTTTCTACTCATTGAGGGACCAACCTCATGGACCAGTTTTAACAGGTATGGAACACAGGGTCATCACAAATTAAATGAGTTCAGATTGCTCCCCCCTGCCCTTGCTCTCTAAACTTGGTCCAAATTTGATGGTCCATTACACCTGACCCCTCCCCTGGGCCTGAGTCTGAAACTCTCCCTCTGGTCATTTCCTGTCCAGTTTATTCATTACCTCTGATGACCAGCATGCCTATCCCAAAACAAATAAGTGTGCCCTGTGATTACTTTTATTATTTTCTGTCAACTTGGCCTGCAGTTGACCAATCCGAGAGCACCATGACCTCCTTGGGGCCCAGAATGAATCCCTGTGGAACCCTTGTCAGTCATTTCACTACATGCAGTATTCATTTAGCTGACCCAAATACTGACCATCCCAGCCAAATGAGCTCTCTAAGATGAAGACCACAGCAATTGATACAGCATTTATAGAGACGTAGGATTATCTCAAAATTAGCAGGTTGGAATTAAAGTAGGCCTGGTCTTCATTTCAAACATGCTAATTAGAATTGATCCCATTTCCCAGAGGTATTCATGAGGTATGACCATTTTTTGAATAGCCAGAATTGTCATTTCATAAATACAGTGGTTTTTAGATACCATGTAGCCTACGTTATTGTGTAATTAAGTGTATTTTCTACTTTTTGATAAAATTATGGCTATCAAGAGCTGAACATACATGTTGGAAATCATGAAACAAGTATGTGCAAAAAGCAAAGTGAACAACAAAGGTTTTTGGTAATGCAAACTTTAAGAACGTTTATGATATGTTGTCAATTGTCTTATGTAGAACTGCATCAAATGTCCTCACTCATTTGTTTTAAGTTTTATTTTGTCACAATAATAAAAAAAATCTTATTGGTAAGAACTTGTCTGAACATCAATGTTACGAACCAGCTTGAAAGAAATACGAGTATCTTTAATCCACCATAATTTTAATTCATACAGATTTGTGGTAGCCATTTATACAGAGTCATTTGCAAAACCTGCTATGGCACGCAATGGGGCAATGTAATGAAAAGAAAGCATCATTTGAAACTTTGTTTCTGTTCAATATATCATTCTAGTGCACTTAAAATACTTTTCTGTGGTAATGGAATTCATTCATGTGACAATGATTCCATATATTACCCTAAGCACAAATGGCTGAAAGCAATAATGCCCCGTCTTCCGATTTAATCAAGTACGTTTGCTTCCATTTCGTCTATTAACCTTGTAATTGAAATTGTCAAAGCTTGTTTCCGACTGTCATTGAAGTGAAACCGACAAGGTGGCCATTTACAGTATGGTACATTTCACAGAGCCACACGGTGACACACAAAAGGTTGTGGTATGTAGTTGAGATCTTTTATTGAATCTACAGCATTTATGCTGTCTTCTGTAGTGTTGAAATAATCTACGCACGCTACCATTGTTCTCAATGAGTGGTGGAATGGACCAATCACAGCGAGAGAACCGTCAACGCCAACAATGCGAGGGGAATGGGTTTCCGGCGATACAGCTAATACGATAATGGATGGGCCACCTACGGGCAGATCACTCGCAATGATATCTTCCAATAATCCGGCTCAATTAAGTGCGGAATTGGGAAAAAGTTTTCCCGCGCCAGGAGCACAAGTCCTGATTACCCGGCAGCCATCAAATCTGTCAAAACAAGACGAGTAATCATAGCCTTGTGTTAACTTTCTGACCCCCACGATACCATATATTAGGGAGAGTAGGGCTTTGATCAATTCACGCTTCACACCAAGAATATGTTATAAAAGTGGAGATTACAAGTGCCGTATTGAACAGTCCTGGGGACTGACAGGTCACAGTGAAATATGGCGACGTGACGCCACACCTAAGACCTCACAAAAAACAAGTAATGAAAAAGTAGATTACATCAATGGAAAGGCTCAGTTTAATAGAAATACATCCTGATTCTTGTACAAATGAAATGAAAAGGCAGTTGGAATTAATCAGGCTACAGGGCTGGGACTTAATGAATTTGGTCGCAACAAGATGTAAGCATGTTGTAATAGGCTGGAACAAACAGCCTTTCTTCAGCTGAATCACTCGATAAAGGAGCAGCACTGGCCAGGCTGGCTGCACAGATGTGCTGCTGGTAAACTGAGGGCATTGGCTTGTCGGAGCATATGAAAGGATCAAGTTCAATGGCACATCTATAACATTATATGGTTTGTCTTATAATGAGAAAGAAGACTAAGTAAATTTTGCAGGGACTACAATGTATTTGTCCTAGAGTCTACATTATCTACATTGTATACTAAGAGTCTACAATAGAAAGATCAAGTCCAACTATAGGTACTGTGACTACAACATGGAAGAGAATCCAAGCTAGTTATGAACATGTCCCTGAATTGCCCCTTGCAGCAACGTCGTATTATGCAAGCATAGATGAATGCTGTAGCAGGTCCTGGGTTTCCAAAGGGCACACGCTTATAATACGTCTTCAAGGAAGGAGCTTTCTGCATAACTGGTGAAAGATTAAGTGTCAGGGAGGTGGGAGCCACTGTAACGTTTGTTAATCTTTCCAATTTAAGTGCAGATTCAGAGACTAAAGTTTCCTGCATGCTTGGTCTGCAGGTCAAACTGGAAGGGGTGCCTCTGGTGGCTCGCTGCAGATTGTCCCCTGGCCCAAGGGACTCTGCTGCATAAGAGCTTTAAAATTGAGTTCGTGGGGTCAGCACAGGCCGAATTCTGTGTCCTGTCTGCTAGTTGCGAAGCATCTGCACTGACATCCTGATGGACTTTAGGGAGTGATTGCCAATGGTGGGGCTCATTTTGGATGCATTATGATGGAAGTTCAATGGTGTCCCCATCATCAAAACATCTTCCACATGCCAGAAAGAATCGTAAAGTCAATTGGGGTGGACAGGAGAAAAAGTGAACTTTGGGGGGTAGAAGGCAAATTTGTGAATCATCTGCACAAAAGGTTAAAGCATTCTTAACCTGATGTCACCACCAGAAAATAGTATGACTGATGAAGCAAATTTGTCAGCATGATCCATTTTCTCTTGAGGGCAATAAGGATTTAAAAAGTGAAAGGGGATCACTTTTCCATGAAAAATAGTCGTAGCTTTGGGAAAAGCCACAAAAGTGGTAATTGAAGAGTCACAGTGTAAGTAAGATGCTGTAGTGTGTAACCATCTCACTGTGAAGACAAGTTCAAGTAAATCTGCCCTCTTCATACCTATCAAGTCATTTTCTAATATCATGGGCATTGTGTAGGAAACCCTAGAATTCTTTGGGCTGGATGTACAATTAAGTTAAGTATCAAAGACATTTGAAGGGGTATGTTTCTCTCTTTATTGGTGTGTTTGGTGATGTCTGGTGATTTCAGAGCTCATGTATGACAGAGCATCAAGAAGAGAGTGTCAAGGGGCTGGTTTGATAAGCTTGATGATGCACGAGAATATCACAAATTTTTGTGAAAAATGTATCATAAAGGTTCTAAACTCATCTTCAACATACTCATCTTCAACATACTTCAGAATAGGTAAATGTTGCATGTTTGGAGAAATCTTGCTGCGTGTGGTTGCATTGAAACTTCCCTTCATGCTGAAACCCTCTGTCCCAAAACTGGCACGTTTCCAACAGGGGAATATGTGGTAACAGCAGTTTGGGTGACACAGTCCCTCCCTCTTCAATCCCACCCCATGCCCAGGGGTTACTCCATGTCATTCTCATCAATTTTCACAGCCTAGTCCCTTCCCCAGGGAACACCACCTTCCACCCCTGCCCTGCTCTGCATGCTGACCCTCCGACTCCATCTTAAAGCTCTTACTGCAGGGAAGTCCCAGAAGGCCCTAGGCCAATCTATCGGATAGCCATGAGAGCTTTTCTCACCCTGACCCGCACAATTGAGAGCTATGAAGGAGAGAGCTCTTGGCTATGGAGCTGGCTGGTGATAGCCAAAGTTCTTGACTTCTATTGGGAAGGCTTTGCCAATCTATGGGATTGCCATGAGCTCCCCCCACCCCATCTGACCTACCTAATGGCAATTCTAAATGCTGAGGAGATTAAAGTACACACTTTCAAACTTCGCTTCGATCGGAACGTTTCTGTCGTATAGTGCGATGAATGTAGGTTCTTTAGGGCCAATTGTTTCACTTTCAGGCAATTTATCAGGAACAACTTGTACTCTGTAATGTTCACTTTTATTGTGACACGTAATAAGCCAATGCAATAAGGTCATAGAAGTAGAGAGCTAGTTTGCTTTCAACATGACTTGGCAGGTTAGAGTTGCAAAGGAGGAAGAAGTTTGAAATGTGAAAATTGATTATTGGATGTCTGATTGAAGGCATTCCTGCTAAGTCTGACAATGAGGGAGGTATGCAGGTACTACTTACCAAAGAGTATTGAAAGGTGGTACTATACATGTACACCATGATGTGTGGCTAAAGGAAGATGTGAGCAGATGGATCCAGTTTTGTGACCTTCTGTAAAAAAAGCCCTCACAAATCTTCCTCTTAGTCTTACTATTTCTCCACTGGAAGTTGAAGAACTGTTAGCTCCTTGAGATCTTCTTACCTGTATGATATTGTTCACTCCAACACATGTTCCCATCCTGATCATGTTGTCCTTTTTATACATTTCAGCTGCATCAGTTTGACAAGGAGCCGAAGCGGTTTGCAGACAGGCTACAGGAGCTGGACATAACTTTCCCACCTAGGTGAGCTACAGCCATCTTCATCCATCCCTGTCAGTCATGTTTGTCCCATCATTAACCTGACACCACTTTACTTTGGCCTTGTGTGGTCAACAGGCAAGCAGCTTCCCCAAGACTTGCCTGCCATTGTTTGACGTGGGTTGAGTCATGCCAAGCTTATGTGATAAAAATGAAGATTCGTGAAGGTTCAGAACAATCTTACAATCACCAGTTGTCTTCTAAATACTGAATGAAGGCATATCCTTATGAAATGTATGTACATCACTGATCAGAAGTAAATGGTTTCCTACACAAGCTAGGATGGAATACTGGTTCCCTAGTTAGGATACACTATGCATAAGCTGGATTCTTCTGTGGTAGCAACAAACTTTCTGCCCAATGTTGATGCTGCTGGTGGTGGTAAGCCTTTGGTAACAAGGTGACCTGTTCTCCTGCAGCTATCCCTTCAGTGAGGATGTGAGAGAAGGCAGACAGTACATGAAGACTCGCTGCCCTGCCTGGTGTGACAGAATACTACTGTCTCAGTCTGCAAGGGACCTCATTCAGGTAAACAAATTTACACGTAGGGTGTGGACTTCCTTTTACTTTGAAAATATTTCCTTTGTGCTAAATTTGCCTTAATCAGTCTACCATGTAGTAAAACCAGCCTAAGATATAATTTGTATTGTTATGTAGATAATGTGATCATAGATTTGATAAAAAGGTTTCAAGAAATAAAAGTTCAATTTTTTTGGTTTAGGTTTTGATCAAGAAAATGTTATGTTAACAGGTAGATGGTGCTAAATTCAAAAGTGCTGGAAAAACATTCAACATTTTTAAGGGTACCACATACATGTAAAACACCCACCCCACAAAAACAACACCTTTCTCAGTTAATTAGTGTAATTTGTCCAGTTCATTTTCACTAGTAAACCAAGCGGAAGAGCTGCTTGTCAATAAGATAAGATCAAGATAGGAAATGTAGACACAAACCTCGTCATTACACTCCGGATGTTTTCCTACATCATGTTGGTAAACCACCTTGCCAACTGAAAAATGCAGGGATTATTTTTCAAGAGTTGTTTTCTTGTTTACGTCAGAATGATGACAGTGGGTAGAGAACTGTTTACACATTTCTCAGGTGTTTTGTTTGTGATAGACACAACAGGTGATTGAGTCACGTCCCGTAAACATTGAGGGGATAATCTCTGATGTCTGTACACGTCAGACTGTCTGCATTTCCTTTTGAAGTCTTGTACAAATGTATTAATCTTTGGTTATATTGACTCTTGATCCCCAATTCCATGTTAGTGGCTTTGTGTTTGGAATTTTTTTTCATCTGCATGCTGTAGAAAACTCTTCAACTATACACGTTGTAAATTACATTAGAGATGATGTATAACAGGTTTTGATCAAGCTCTGCATCTTCTGTTGTTAGCGTGGAGATGAGTACAGTCCTGTGTACCACGTCATGGGCTCCAACGTGTGTATGGGCGATCATAAGGTAAGACTTTTCAACTTCAACTGAAAGGGTAAGGTTACACATCAAGCACATGATTTATAAAGAAAACCGAAGCCTTAGCTTAGAGATGGTTTGTTAACGTACTAATAGAAAATAGCTGTCATGTACATGAAAAATCTCACCATGTGTACACGAGAGCACACCCATGCCCACCCCCTGCCCTGTTCCTTCCGCTGTTTTTCTACCCCTTCTAAGAAGACCGTCACCCCTGACAACAGGGTACTGCAGTTCAGGAAGGTCCCTATCATCTTTACTTTTCCCTTGGCTGATCTCCAGCCCAGCACACAACTCCAGACAATGGCACATTCTTCCCTGCTCCTTGTTTTCCTTGCTGGCATTTCTAAAAATAAAGTCCCCTTACTACATCTCTGAGATCCATCCACAAAGGGGAGCAGACACTGAAGGGCCTTAATCTCACCTTTATTTGGTGAGCAGTACTAAATTAACAGACTTCCTGACTTCTCCCAGCTGGTCGCCATGACAGCGGGCGGGGCACCCCCATGCTACAGCCATTGATATGGCCTGTGACAAATTGCGTGTCACATAGAGCTGTGTACCGGTACGCAGTACCGATACTGTACCGGAAAAATTGATTAGGTACAGGTCCAAAATACCTAATCCCTCAGTACCGGTACTGTACCTAAACAATTTCACACTAATTTTATGCCTATTTGTGACCTCAAATGTGTAAATAGCTGGTCCACAATGGGTCCCTGTGTAAGGACAGTGTGTTCATGAAAACAAAAACAACTTAGTTTTGCCTATATTTTATCTGAGCATTCGCCATAAACAAAGAATAAACCTTAACTATCAAGTTTATTTATGTTTTTTTGTTATTGAAGGAGTTCAGAAGAGCATATAAATTGGTCGAATTGTTCAGGTACAGGTTCAGGTCCGGACCTGTACCTAAACCTGTGTACCTGTACCTGTACCTGTACCTAAAATTTGTTTAGGTACACAGCTCTAGTGTCACATCATGTGATTATGCAGCTAACAATGGAGACGGGCTGGCTCTGCACAATGGCAAAAAGAACGAGCAGAGTGAGACACTGGAATCCGCGCATTTGTCTGGCTTATCTATCCTGACAGATGGAAAAGTCGCACGGCGGCAGAGTGCTTACATCAAGCACTTTCTGAAACTTCCAGTGTTTGTTATGGCTTTCAAAGCCAAGCAATTGTCTGTGCCTGACCTTGTTATCAAAGATTTTGGCGATAGCTCAAAAGAAGATTGTCTAAGGGATAATGATTCATTAAATGAGGATTAGACCTAATTTTTCTGTTACTAGATGTCCTTTTATTATCACAGTCCCGAGGGATTGACTGTCATTGCAGTCCAAGTCTGGGTCTGGCATCTATCATGGAATCATATGACACCACAAAATTTCATTTTATGTTGGCGCTGTCTTCCAGCTAATTGCAGACATTTTGTACCATCAAGACATAACCTCCAGGACCTCCAGATCATTGGGAAATCCTTATCCTGTGAACCTCTTCATGTACCAATCAATTGGTGAGGTTTCAAAGAGACCCCAACATGTGTGGTACATGCATCAACACTTCTGCAGCTGCTAAACTGTTGACACTTCAAACAACTTACTCATTTCAAAACTAACAAGAGTCCTGTGGCTTTAGCCCCCAAATCTTCCAAAACATCCTTTGCAGATGTTAGAATGTCCATCTCAAATTAAACTGCCCATACTTTTTTCGGTATTGCCAATCTTTTTAAAAGGACTCGAAGCAATGCTCTTTACATGTTTAAGTACATGCAAGTCACTCGTATTCCTCTCAGAATAGCCGTTATGAATTTCAGTTTTCAATCATTTGAAGAACTGCAAAGTAGGGATAAAGAAAACCAAACAGCTTTAGTTCCCATTATCAGGCTGGTGTTGGAGGATCTGTGTGGAAAGTTGATTTATACCAGTCTTGTCAGGTGAAATATATGGGAGACATAAATTTTTCCTGAGTCTCTGTCTCCTCTCTATATGTCTTCATTCCAAGAGACAGCCTCGTCCTGGCATGCTCCCCTGGTCTATATATACCTGTGGCATGTAGAAGAGGTGTTTGCAGATATTCTGCAGTACTGTATCTGCACAAGGAGACTCAAGAAGAGGATGACCACAATTAGTCATGTGGTCGTCATATGGCAAGATATGTTCACATATCCCACTTTAGTTTATGTATGAGCAACAAATACTAGTACACTTTATATTGTACAAGTTGATTATACTGCAGTTATAGGGTAAAACAGTTTTTGTGTACTTATTTTATGGAATAATCTTGATTAATAATGCCTTACTGTCTTTCCCTCATGCAGCCCATATACCTGTACTTTCGGCTGGTTCCTGACACAGGTAAAAGTCGACATAGGCAGAGGCGAAAGGCCAGTTGTGTTGTGTTGTGATCGTGACAGCACGATAGGGTAGGGCTTCTTTTCACATGTAACCACTATGTTTTGGATTTTCACATTGACTTAATCAATTGATATTTTAAACAGCTATGTTTCATTTTATACTTTTGTTTATTTGTTTTACCTTTCTTTTTTGCATGACAACCGTAGATGGGAAAAAGATGTCAGATTCTGACCTTCTCCAGATAAGCTTTAATGAATGAGCTCTTTCAGAAAAAATCATGATAGGAAGCCAGGCAAGCTGACTTACTGTCCTATTCCTGTCTGACGTCTGCCCATGAAGACAAGTTTGACTGACCTCTGCTTTACTTTCTTCCAGCCAGATATCTGTCACGCTCCCGTACCCACCCCAACGGTTTCTCCACCGCGCCCCTGATCATCCGTGAAACGTCAGTGTAACCTGTACTCGTGGAAACCCCGTTAAGGACGCGATAGATGGATGTATTTGTTGTCATTGTGGCCAAACTTATGGGTGTATCAGGTTTTAGTGTTAAAGTGGATAAAGAGCATTTGGTGTGTATATATACTTAATATATGAATATATATATAAACGATAAGAAAGAAAGCATTCAGATACATTCTGTGTCTAGGTGTAAGCTGTGAAAACATGATTTTTTGCCAATATGAGAAGATAACGAATGATGAGAAAGTGGATAGATGGTGACAAAAATGTCCAATATTTAAAAGTCCCTCATGTTCCCAACACAATGCCCCAACACAAACAACAGTCACACTTTTGTCTGCTGTTACAGTACCGACTTCTCATCCAACTTGATGCTAAGTGCTCAAGTCTGGTGCTGTCCCATATCACAGCTTGCCAGGCAGCATAGTCCATAGCTGTGGCTCCATCTGACCCTCACCAACAAAGCTAGGCCTTCAAACCTTGAATTTCCAACGTTTCCACACTACCTGATTACTAAGAGACAAAGTGTAGTGTCTGCTTGCATGTAGTCAAAGGAAAGACATTAGTCCGTTTAGGTCAGTTTTGTCATTTCGGTTTTTTTTTTATGAAAAAAATACAAACAAACATTTGTGGGCATGTTGTGCAAATTGTGCAATCCATTAGATAATTTGTCAATCATGTATGTTTTTTTACTGAATCGCTTAATTATAAGGCCCGTGACATCTGCAAATGCACCTGGAACCCTATGAAGCCCCACTAGCACCTGTCCTGTTATACCTGTTTTCAATTTGCACTTACGTGTGAAAAAGTTACTCTGGCGAATATGAAATCTTCAGTATTGTTATTTCAATTAACTGCAGTAAATGATAACAATGCAAAGCACAAAGACTTTCACTTGATAGGGAACAATGTCTATCTTGTTTTTTGGAATTTTAAATTTGTAAGTTAGTAATTTGTAAATATGAGAAGCATTTTAGCCCTTACCTTAATACTCCTGAATGATATGGAGATTTTAAATGATAAATTAATTAAGAGATATGTGAAAAGAATTTTTTTAGTTATGTAGTTCAACAGTTTGTATGAAACATTTCTAAATCCCTTTTTTAGTTATTTTCAAACCATAACCAGAAATGTAAGTTCTTTAGAGCCTGCACTGAAGTGACTAGATTGATTGAAGAATCCTACATTATTTTGCTACAGCACTGCATCATCAGTATCCCTCTAATGTGCCCCCTCCCTCTTTTCTCACATCGTAAATCACACCAACATGTATGAGGTTATGTACTTGACAGGGGTCTGGTCTCCCCTTTGTTCTAGAATGGAAAGTTCCATGCAACAGATGTGTGTTAAAAACGGTGGTCACACCCCTTCACACTTCAGACAATGCCTCACATATGGCACGGTAACCCATGTCGAATCTGTTCGAGTGGTAACTGCCCACAGTGACAGATCTTTCCTAACAACACCACACTGGAAAGAGACAAAATATTGTTCTGTGGTCAAGCTATTCTGTCTTCTTGTCAGGCAGAGAATTTGGGCCTTTTTATTTGGAGAAAGGTGAGAGGGGGTAGACATATTCTAGAAGGCCTGTTAAATGTACCATTTTCAGGGAATGTTCAAGCCAGATTGCTTCATTTAGATGTATGAGAGTGAAGTTTTATATCAAGTTGGCCCTATTCTCACTTTCAATGTGTATATGTCAAACTGTCTGCAGGATTAGAATCAAAGGGGTGTGCAAGTGTGCTCAGTAGTAATGGTTTTAACCTATTCAATAGTTAAACAAAAGACTGTTTTTAACCTTCATTTTTAATGGTACAAGCTCCTTATTTTACCCACCCCTTTCATGGTCGACTGTCTATCCCACCTATGTACAGGAATATGCACCCTTTGAAAAAATATGATGACTGGAAAGGGATTAAGTGTATACGGAGATTTATGCAGACATGACACTATAAAGCCAAGAATATTGTACATATTTTCACAAAAGAAGAAGCCATCTTTACATACATCTTACTATCAGGATCTCCTTAAGATACTCGAACACGATTGAAGGGGGACTAATGACTTCTCATGATTGAAAATAGTAATCAAGCGCAAGAAATACTGGGGTATTTTGGTGTTGTGTATGTGATAGCTATACAGATGTGTTAGCATGTATGGTAATCTATGCATCATGTTAAATGTTTCTGCTGTCCTGAGATAGTTCTTGTCGTTATTGTGTCCATGGTGATAGAGGTAATGTTGTCCTAATCTCTCATTACTTCTGCAGTAGAGTTGCTAGTGTAAGGTCATTGTGTGTAAAATATATACCTGTACCCTTTCAGATTGGCAGATTTCACTTACGGAAATGATCATTAAACCTTGTTCTATTTTGCCCACAGACCTGTAAAAATTTGTCACCAAGTTCCCATTTTATTCCAAACATTGCAGTACACTTGAGTGTAGACATATTAATCAGAGGTGTATAAGATTATTTGCGGTATAGTGTAATCAAGACAGGATTTGCCATGTGTAATTGTTGTGTGTATGATATGTAACATTTGTTATGTCTAATTGATCATCATCATAAGTATACACCAAGGGATACCATAACAGGATGACACTGTGTAGTTATGTTTTAATCCTCATAGATGAATACTCTGCCTAATTATAAACAATTCATCACAAATGTCAGATACCGTTAGAGGACCCCAGTCTTGCTTTTGAGAAATGTTTTGTGTTAGAACAGAAAATTTTACAATTGCTGATAACTACTGTTATGTAAATGTAATGAAAAGCTTCTGTATTTAAGCTTATGAAATCAAAGAAACCAAAACCAGTGCTAAATCAAATGTGCAAGAAATCCTACATGGCAGTGTTAATTCCTAGCGTATTACTACTCTCATCCCCCACCCCAACCAAACTGGTGTGCATAGAATTCAGCTTAACTCTGAAATGATACAATTAAAAAGGCCCATGCACATTAAGATGGTAAAGCCATGACTCAGGCCCACATCATTCTGGTGATGTACCAAAGGTTTTTATTTTAAACTCCATTTTAGTATATTTGTAGTTTCTTTCATCAACACACCCTTTAGTCTACGCAAAATCGTTCCCATTTCTTTGTATTTTGAATTAATATATGTCAACACGATTGTTTATGTTTTTTGTATTTTCACCCAAACAATCATTTTAATCAAATCTGCATTTTGTAATACGTTGGTGCATGTATTTAAGTATATTTTACAAGACGTCGTATTGGTGCAGTTTTTTTCATACAAACGTTTTCATTCTTCACATTAACTTATGTCAATGTACTAGTATATGTCACGTGTCTGGTTGTTAAGTCTGGCTTGTTGTCAACAATGTGATTGGCTGATACACAATGTCTAATGGAAACTTTTGTTCACATTCCCTTCGCCACTAAAAACCATCACGACTCGTGTCTATTTCATTGTTGGTAAGCCAATCATCTTTGGACTGTAATAACCAACTTTCGCAAGCTTTGATTTCACAATCCAGACATTTAGAGCTTACTACCACTACGTTTTAGTGCGTACATTTTCTTCTCGTCCACTGCATGTATACCATACCATTATTTTTCATTCTGTAAGGACGTTTCTGATTGTAAATATTGTTTTAACTTCATATTGTAAGCAAGAAAACGACGTCGTATATAAACAGCCTGTTATTTTTCTAGGCAGAAAGATTTGTCTGTTTGTCCTACCTCAGCCTAAAGCGCTCGTCGTTTCATTTTTCCGAATCGGATGTACAGTTTGTGTTTTCTCTTTTTTTTTATTTCTACACATATGGTTTAAACAAGAATTCCTTGTTCCCTTTGGAAGTTTGAGTAAAACCGGTTTATTCTGTTCAACACATGCCTGTTCGAGTTCTTCTTTGTACAAAGAAATCAAATACAACAAAATCGACGTCACACGCAAAGTATAGAATGATGTGGTGATCTCATGGCTTCCAAGTCCGAACCTTACAGTCCGGCCTCACGCAGCTTGTACTTACATATACAAAACTGGTGTTTTACGCCTAAAAAGGCGGGTGGTTTACCGGTTATACGAAACAAACAAAAGTCCTCTAAATAACTATCACAGATATGGTCGTACTCAAGATTGCAACATTACTGTACGAGTGGTGACAAATACTCCAAAACCATCAGGCAGTTCCATGTCAAACAGGCCGGTCCCAAAGTTGGTTGTGGGTTCCAGGCGGTGACAACTGCCAGACATTATTTCCGTAATAGACATCGTGGGTGAGCTTCTAAACAGCGACACCCAAAGAAAACATCTGTCGAAGTGAAGACCGTTGCACGATGAGAGATGACAGTCACTTACATTGGGTGGGTGTCTCTCCTTGGTGCTGAATGGACATCACGTGACTAACACCGCCCGCTTTCTGTGGCGATTCGCAACTTTCTCTGATATTCACCAGCCTTGTGGAAAACTAGCCGAACAGGGGTTGTTTCAGTAGCTTATTGTACGCGTTTTGCGTATAACAACTTGCAATCATTGAACAAGAAAATTCAGTACAATGTATTTATTACTTGTAAAAGGCCATGTTATCTCATTTCACAAATATTTCATTACTCCACTAAATGAATGGGTTTTCAGCACTAGCGTATTGTATGTGTTAGATGTCATATCTATAGGTTTACTGTTGTACGATATAAGAACTAGTCTGAATCCTTAGTCCATGTAGGGATGTCGGTTTCATTTCAAGGTCAGTGTACATTTCATGTAACGTTAGCTGTACTTCCTAAACAGACGCGTAGCAAGACACAAATGTGGATGTATAAAAAAGGCAAAAATCACGGTCGATGTTTTCTCTTGATACAAAAATGTGGTACAGGTAGTGATTTTATGGATATAATAAAGTAAACTTGAACTAGTGAATGTCCTGTTAATGCATACGTTGTGCCATATTGCCTTGCCCTGTAGTTTGTCTATAAACACAGACAATCCGCTCTAGCCGTGTCCAAGCCGACCAGACCTCAGAGGGCGCCATGTGTGAGGGTGTGTTTATCGGCAGTCGGCAGTTCTCAGCTTAGAATTTCCGAGAGATTAAAAACGTCAAGTGTTTCCTGGGACAATGTCGGCGGTTTTGAGCGATGGGTATTTAGTGAGGTGGGTTCCATGGGGGCAGAGTTTTCCTGTCCCAGGGACGGCCAGAGGTCGGGAGTAAAAGAAAAGAGAACAGCCACATTCATGAATATTTGTTGTGCGTGTCAAGATCTAAGGTCAGTATATTCAACAGACAGATGATCCGAGTTGGAAAAGTCTCCTCGGAAAATGAAATAAGGTATCATGCCTGTATAATGTGATAGCAACCACATGTATGCCTTTCATATACGCAAAGTAGTGGAAAAGAAGCTGGTGCAGTACTCGTTATCTGACAGAATATGGCATATCACGACATTGAGACCAAAAATTAACCAGAAACGAAAAAGGAATAATTTTTTGTGTTTCTCTCATACCTAAGTTTGGGTTGGTCATGTCATAGAATATTTAGAGAACGATTCACATCGTTATATGTTGTTAATCGTCCAGAGACCAAAAACAATCGCTGATGAAGCGTTTAGAATATACAAACGGAACAACTATCCAAATAAACCAAACACACCGACTAAAGTAAGAGCAAAGCGATGATCGCCTTTTTGTGGAAAACGGCTCAGGCATTGAAAGTGTCTTGAACTCAAAGAATTTGAAATCAACGGTGATATTTCTTGAGCAGGCGCATCAAAGTCATACTAGTTTTAGTTTTTTTTCCCTACTCACTATGGGCACATAACATGGTTTTGTTGTTGTTCATGTGTTGTGATGTGACCTGTAGGAGTTGGGGGATAGAATCGGAAAATTATTCGGAAATAGCGGCGAAGTGGGAGGACAACAGCCTGAAATACTTCGTAACGAGGTGCGAAATAACCCAACTCTTCCCATATGTCACCCGAGGTCAACCTGTTGCCAAGACCATGTGTGTGTGCGGTGGGCCTCACGGTCAAGTACAGATCACAGGAGCATCCGATCCAATAACGGAGCAAACTTGCCGTTGACTTCATCAGATTCATTTTAAGTATGACTAATCGCGTTACTGATCTTCGCTCGCCTTGAGATACATCTGTACTGTTTAATACCTTCTGTTAGGGCCCGCCCTATTCTTTGAAATGAAAATGACCTACCTGGCTTCCCTCTGGAAGTATTATAACACGTGGGTTCTGGTATTTTTGGAGCAGAGGGGACAGAATTCCGCACCGGCTCCCGGTAAGTTGTGGCCCAACCGCCAAATGTAACCTTGATTCGCTATTAAATGCTTGTACGAGGATGCAAAATAGACCTCGAGGAAACAGAAGGACTCTCTACAAACAGTCCTGCTTGCTCGCGCGCACTCGCTAAACTCTTTCGCAAGTAAGAAAACAAACTGTGCCCTGGTAGCGTCCGCAGGGAGTACTGTTCCTTCCCAAGAAGAAATACGACCGATAGCAAGTCTGCCTCAGAATGTGAGGAATTTAGTAGTAGCTTTCCGTAAAAATGCTGGAGATCTTAGTAAGCTCGCCTGTAACATTGAACCGTGAAAAGTCTGGCATAGCAGGAAACTGAAGGACGTGCGAAAAAAAAATTCAAGCTTGCCACCCAAGTAACTTCGTTTCAGATGGTCCCAACTGTTGGCGTTATCTAGGTCCAGAAAAAAGTCAGAAATTGCAAATATTCATACGAATACAAAGGAATGGATTACTATACGTTTTCATGCATAGCTAGTAATAAATATACAAGAAACTTCAACACAATCCGCCATATTTCTTTTCCAGCCCCAAGAAAAGTCATCAACATGGCTTTGTGTATTCATATGGGAGCTGTTTGTGGACTGACACCGCTTTAAACAGACCACACACCGGTAGCAACAAACCGACAAACGGCTACCAATTAATTATCTACATATTAATGGCGTATGATGATGTTTTTAATGAACTGTCCTGTCCGCGAATCCTTTGCTGTCCTTTCATGGAGGACCGTTGTTTGGTTATCCTTGCCCATCCTATTCAGCCCATACACGGCGGCACGACTGTGGTGGAAAACACTCGCTATTGTACAAAACCATTCCCGTGAACACGATCTATTTCAAAGTGAATGACTTTCCATATCAAGTCCGTTTCCACAACAACAAGGCTTTTTTACCAGCTTGCCGACCCCCATACAGACTTCCTCCCGCAGCCATTTGGCAGCCATCTGAGATGACAGACTTTGCAAATGACTCATTAAAAGACTATTTAACGATATGATTTTGATGTAAGGCACATGTCTCGACTGACCTTTTCTTCAGTCAAAACGCCGAGTGAGTTTATTTTCTCTTTTGTGCCCACGAAAACACCGGCGTGTCGCTAAAAACCTTCACGTAGTAGAAATCCATTTTGACGGATTGCATTTCAAGTAAAGATCTCGCGGGAATGAAGACATCTTTGCTCCATCTTTTGTGCTCAAAATATTCTACATCGGAACTACATTTTCGTGAACAATACCTAATGGCTGCTACTAAAAACCATTCATTTATGGCTTAAAGGGGAAGAAAAAAGCAGAATAAAATGGCCATGAACGAAATAAGAGCACCTTTTGTCCAGAATGCACCCCCTCCCACAGCGCACTGGCCGAGGAAATAATTAATGTCGTCAATTCATTTTATAGCCATGATTGTGTCCATTAATAATTTGTTAATGTCGTGTTTGTGTTGCGATGTATAGTGGCACTTCCCTCCATGTCGGTAGAGGTCAGCGCTCTCCGCAAGTCACGCATAGCCGGCCTTCCCGGAGAGAAATGCCGCTTCTGGGGGATTAGACACCAGCAGAAATTAGAGCTGCAATTTGCGTGGAGTAAAACATCGTTTTATTAAAGACGCGTCGTTTTCTAAAGGGTTTTACTGTTCATCTCGCATGTGTGTCACGAATCCAAGGTTCCAAATGCTATGGTTACATATTTAGGGAGGAAATTGAAGAGACGTTATGCGAATTATTAATGCAATCAAAATCAGCGTAGGGGATCAAACGTGTAAACGGAGTCACATTTATAACGTACACGATAAAACGTAACAACGTCATGAGATTTGACAGAGGCGAAATGACAGGGTAGTTGTGAGACAAATTTTCACGGCCATAGTCGTAAAACATTTCAGCCCCCAAATGGAACTGAATTTCGAGAAAATACCACAGAGAAATTATTTTTGCTGTTGGTTTTATTATACTAGAAACCGTATCTCTGAATTTTGTTTTGTATCTTATTGAACCCGTTGTATACAGCAAATTTTGTTTCACAGAAATCCATCTGCATTTCAGTGTACATTGTGTAAGATAGATTTTCGGTCAACTGTTTTCTTTTGTTTAAACGGACTGTTTAGTCATATGGAAATAACTAAATTCTGTCTGACTTTTACTACTTCCAATGAAGTTTCAATAACCAAATGAAAAGGTGGATATATCCATTGTCCTTGTCATGATCTCATTCATTACTTGGGGAACAAAACACTTGAGCAATGAGTTGTTAAACGACGGGGGCCTTTTTCACATGTAGCTGTGAAACCCGTTCACACACTCCTGTTTGGCTTCAGTCGTTCAGTACTTTCTTGCCCAGCGGGAGGCCAATTGATAAACACAACAGCGCTCATCAATGTTTCCGTCGATTCATATGGAGATATCGCACGTAAAAAAGGGCGGAGAGCTAAAGAACAATACCGCACAACTTCTGAGCAATGTGCGACTTCCCGACCACCGAGTCAGTGATGTGTATTCCGAGTGTGCACATGTGTTTTGTTTTTGTGAAATTTTACAGAAAACGTGTTATTTTTCTGGTCACACAAAACCAGGGCAAAATCGGTTCTTCACGCCAACACAAAACCGTTAATTTTCACATTAGGCGGACAGATTTTTCGTTTGCGACGCTCTATGGTTTCAATGGGGATCATATAGGATACACGCTATCTTAGTGGGGCCAATTAAACCCACGTATGGACCTGCAAATTTATTATCAATACGGAAGACAAACATGACAACAGAACTCAATTGACTTGTTATTGAAGTCCATCCGTTTGTGTGTAATGAATCCGTGCCCGGACATGACAATGTGTTCCATTCTGGTCTCAGTACTGGACCAACTTATTCACTGCCTGAGCCTGTAAACGTGCTTGTAATACTGAGACGAGAATTATGGACGAGAAATGCCCCTTTTCATTGTGACATGTCGTCTTGATAGACCCGTCCACTACATAATGTTCGCGGGTCTGCAAATTGCGCCGCACATATATGGGGAATGTACTAATAGGCCGTCTATGAGGACAAGAATTCGTGTCCACATTTTCTCCATCTTGTGCGAAAACATGTGGTGCCCATGCCCTACGCGGAGGCAACAACCTCCAAAGCTCTTTTCTCCCTGTATTCCATTGAAAGTAGATGAAATATGCAGCGAGCTCGCTTCTATTGTGCGGTGTCGCGCCGCTTCTGTCAGGCCGTGCTCCGCCGAACAAAAGTCAACGGTAAATTCGAAATTATACGCTCACCACGAATTTTGTGTGCAAACTCCCATACAGGAAATCGGGAGAATATAACGAAAAAAACACCCACGTTGACCATTGTAGTGATGCAGGTCTTGTGTTTTTATACTGTACTTGAGTACCATTTTTGGAATGCATCTCTAAAGGCTGAGTACAACGTGGGTTGGAAAAGGGAGGGAGACTTCGTGATATTTTTGACGGCCAAAAAATATAACAGATTTTCAAACTGAAATTTTCTTTTGAATCTATTTTTTAAGCACTTCCCCATCATGTTCCTTTTCACACTTTTTGTGGTTCTAATAAGAAGCTAGCATGGACCTTGAAACGAAGGGAACAGTGTTCCCGACGATCGCGTGGCAGCGGTAGGCTCTAACTGGGCCGGCGGGAGACCAGGCCACCTGCCCCCGAAGTGTCTCATTATCACCTCTCGCTGAACGACTTGGACGGCTACGGGCAAGCAGGGGGCAATAGGCGAAAACTGGTAACCTGGGGAGGCGAGTAATTCTTACAGATGCAGGCCCAGTGGGGGTGGGAATTCGGGAAATCTGGCTCGTGGTGGGGACGGTAGTTAGTGACACGTTTGGGGGCCATACTTGGGCGGGATTACCCATTAGAGAGCAGACGCCCGCGCTACTGGAGTGTGCGATATCCTACGCTCCGATGGCTTCCTCTTTCACTCGCCTTTTGTGAGAGAAATTGGCTGAAAAACATTGCTCAATTTCCCGGAGAAAATCTAACTAAAGGGGCAGGTACCCTGTCAAGCATGCCCAAGCAGTTTGCAAAAGAAAACACGAACATGCCAATAAATACAGGTCGCCATCTTTTTTCAGACGACAGAAAAGACATAACACTACAACCGACACGTTTGCACACTCACTAGGGAAGAAGACACAAAATATGACGAGGACAAGTTCATTTTCTTCAACTTCGTTAATGTGTGGTCTTGTTGAAACCATTTCGTCAACTCACAGTACAAAAACCTTCTGTCAAATGCTTTGTGGGTGCAACAACGCACATGTTTCCCTCGGCCACGCTACAACATGGCGTGCGGTACACATGCACCGAACACTGGAAGGTGTAACAACAAAACGGGAACAGCATATTCATATTTACATATATATCAAAACAGCTGTCTTACAATTGACATTGAAAACCGTCGGAAATATTACATGAGATGAAAATACTTCACTATAGACGTAACATATGCCATACGTTTGGAATGTACGGTTGTCAAATATAGCCTGAACATGAATACTACAGAGTGGCGTGGTGGACACAGCATTGCCCTACAAAACTCCTAAATCTTCATCGTCTGATTGGTTTTCACAAAAAATTCGATCTTGGCTGATATGAGAGTAGATTCTGCTCGCTACAGCAAGAATTACATGGCGTTGATCGTCCCAATTCTAGATTAGAATGAACCCCCAGCTTACAGTATTGACAGCATCCGTTCGATATGGAAAAATTATTGTCTATTGACGGCTGTAGCGTCATACTTTACGGATACGTTCGAATTCTCTTTCGATTCATTAAATAATAATGTACATCTCATGTGCAATTTCCATCAAAAATATAAGTTACAATGTAATGACAGTCACTTAAAGATTATGGAATATTCACGTTTACATCATGTATACATCGGTCTACTTTACACAAATGGACAATGGAATCTGTTTAAATTAACAAGTATCAAAATATCTGCAATCGCAATTGGCAAATGCACACCAACTTGTCGGAAGAGAAACACTTTTTTTCGGTCGAGAAATAACGACGTCATAAATATTTACAAGAATGTCTGAAAGTAACCCGAATGATATGCTAGCTTTCGGTCAAAAAGGACCGTGTCGTTTTCGTAGTGAACAAGAACTCTTCTACTATTTTTTTGTCCGAACGGTAGACTTCTGTATTCTTTGCAACAATGTTGTCCAAAGGGAAACAAAATATTCACTCTAGAATCTAAATTTATCTCTGTTTGTTTTGTCTTATTTCTTGTCAAAAATTAAGAGCAGGTAAACAAATTTATCACCGAAGGTCTACTTTTTTTATCGTCGGCGCAGTGGTCTCTGCGAGTCGAAATAAGTACAAACAACAAGACCCAATATTAGGAGGGGAAATCTCTTACAGAAACGGCCTTTAAGACCAAGAATCTTACACTAAGTGTCAGGCGACTGGGCAATATGTTACATACCCATGAAGCTGGGCGTAACAAAGGGAAAGCAGCTATTTTTTCTGCCTAACATACAGGCGTTACCTGGCTACGCCACCATCCGTCGAGCGTCATATAAAACATATAACGTTATATATATATATATATAAAATAGCAAAGAAAGAACTCATAATATATAAAACCTTGCGACATAAATCCGATAAGATATAGCTCTTTGTTTGCCCTGTTGCACATAATATGATGACGATACATCTTGTATACATAATCCAAGCTTATCTCTCCAAGCACCTCACAAAACACTGATGCGCACCTAAGGTAAGTGCTTGTGTTGGTAGTTACAACAAACAAAATATACAGACACGTAAAACAACGGGGGTAAAAGAGATAACGAATCTCCTCTGTCTGATAAAAATATATCCAACATTGTTTGACCAAGACAAAAACGCCATGGTGAAACGGTTCATATATATTATGAACTAAATCTACAAGAGTCCACGTTTTTTCCTTGCCAGTCTACGTACCGATGTGTGAAGTTTGCGCTAGTGTGGTGTCCACCACTTCAGACGACGGCGTGTTCTCTTTTTGCCTCTCTGTATCGCTACTGCTGCCGTTGGAATTGTTGTTCCTGTCTTGGTCATCCAAATCCTCTGGCTCGGAGTTCTCTTCGCCGTCTTGCGCGGCCATCTGCTTCTGTTGTTCCTCCTGCTTCTTCTTGGCAGAGGCCATCTCGGCAGCGTGCTTCTTTCGCCATTTTGTGCGCCTGTTCTGGAACCATACCTGCAAAGAACAAGAACACTGACGATTAAAAAATGTAAACGAGGAGAAGGGACATGCTTAGACGAATTGACGCTCACCTGAGATAAAAAGGCAAAAACACGAGGCTTAAATAACTTCCGAACAAACATGAAGTCACGTATTAAAGAGATGGGCAAAAGTCGCAAGATCGTGAAGATAGCGCGGTATTGTACACGGTGGTTATTTATGGGTGTCGATTTTGTATCTATGCACTTTTAGAGGCCTGCCCCACGTGTAGTTTGGTGCGATACACTTCTAGTTCGTGATTGTGTGTATGATTCCCCGCCTAAATATCACAATACACACTTCATTCGGTCCCACCAGGTGTGAATCGGGTCCTTCAAAGGTGGCTGGTATAATTAGGACGAACAAAGGAAATCTTAGAATAAGGGAAAACAAAATAGCTACGTTTGAGGGCAACGGGGAGCGGGATAAAGCGGGTCATTTATCGACAAATCACCGATCCGGTGTTCCGTTGCTCCCCACACTATCTTGACCACCCGCTTAGATGTACAATGCTCCTCGGGCGACGGTTCCTGCTCGCCCAACAATGCTACGTAAACATCCCGCTCCTAAAAACCGCACCGTTTCGGGATCAACAAAAAGTCAATTTCGACTAATTGAACGATTAAATTTTTCCTTTCGTTGGCGCCATATTTTGAGCCATTTTGCGACGGTTGTTTGACACAGATAAACGTACGTGCTGGTTGTGTGAAGAGGACGTGAAATGACTTGATCCGCTTTTGTTTTGTTAGCTCGACCGGCTTCAGATCGGATTAAATCCTCCTGAACGACGTGTACGGTCCCTAAGAACGTCAGCAGATCCCAAACAATGTAACCGATATCGGGTGTAAGTGACAAGGCGATTAAACACACGGGGTTGAGGGATTGTGGAAAGCGCCTTGATGATACCCCGACAAGAGCACCGCGTGCTCGCGACATCTTCCTCCCGCCGGCGATGATAGGTTCGCGCGCGACTCCCTGACACCGGCATGTCGATCAAGAATTAATGGCGAACCGCGGACGGCTCTACTAAATTTTCCTTGCGCGACGTCTTCCTCTATCTAGTATCTGTATCTTGCTCTGGCGCGTCAGCAGAAAAGAAACCGTACAAAAGTGGTGAGGACCATAAAATCATTTTCTGTTGTGGAAAAACGTCTGGGGCTCGACATGCATCGCTCGCTCGGAATCGGAACGATCTTTTCATGATGCCTCGGCTTTGTGCTGCTCCAATTGTACCTCAGAGATAGCTCTCTGCGTGGTACCCGTACTGAAAACACCGGAGGGAATAAAATCTTTACTAACCTTGACTTGTGATTCCGTCATGCCCAAGGAGTAAGCCAGTCTTGCCCGCTCAGGCCCTGCTAGGTACTTCGTCTGCTCAAAAGTTTTCTCCAGGGCGAATATTTGTTGTCCAGAAAAGGTGGGACGTGTGTGCTTTCTCTTGCCATCCTTGTCTACCGTCACATTACCAGTTGTACCGTGCGGGTCTGGAACAGTAAAATATAAACAATTCAGACTTAAAGCTATGCTCATCATTTATAAACAAAAAGTGACGGAAAGACATGCGAGTGTTGTCAGTGATGTGTTGAGTGAACATGTGTTGAGTGAATTTGACTGAAAGATGAGCAATGGAGGTTTTGACGTAATTTGTGAGAGGGAGGACTTGTGTCTACTCAAACTTTGTGGAAAATACCACATGGGAAAGAGAAAAATGCATGGAAACCTTAGAAGTCAAGATCTGAACGATTCCCAAGCTGTTTTTGCGCTAGCTATTTGATGGGAAATACAAATAAAGCCCGCTGGTTCCGAACACAAAGACACATGGGGACCACCCGTGCGCACAGGACGGGCATGCCACACCATAGCGATACTTAGCAACAACTACTTCTACAACTTCTTTGGCTGGAAACACGAGATTTTTCGTTGGAAAAGATAATAAAATTAATGTTTTAGACACTTTAAAATTTGAAATTTTACCCTCTGTTAGATTTAAACAAATTAGTTAAAGCCAAGTTGAAATTTAGGTCGTTTTTTCTGGCTGCCTGAAAGTTGTAGTTGACATGATGGCTGTGTAGGAGGGATGGGTGAAAACTTACGAGGTGGACACGCGAATCTGTCTCTCCATCCGGCTCCCTGCATCATGCCCGGCCAGTACATGGACGCCCTGCCGGACAGGTCTCCCAGACCCTTGTCGAACCTGGCCGCCGGGTTGAAGTACATGCCTGCAGCAGGATTGTTCATGTTCATGTTCAGCCTGGGGATAGTGAAGAGAGAGTTCACGGAGTTGAGCGAGTTGGCCACGGTGACCGGCCGGGAGAGAATGTCCGAGATCCCGTACGGCGTGGTGGCTTGGCTGGTGAAGGTGGACAGAGACATGGGCTTGAGGGGAGACGTTGAGGTGAAGGAGGGGTACTGGCTGGGACACACGGGGGGAGCGCGCATCTCCGTCATGTTGTGCAGGGCCGCTAGTGGAGGGTTACTGAGTACGAACGCGCTCTGTCGCGATGCATCCATTCCGGCAGTCTCCGATACGAGCATCGCCGAGAGACGGGAAAAAACGTTGAACGAAACAGACGAAACTTTCGGGAAGGCGACCTGACCGTACACCGCGGGTTCTGTGACAAGTATGGCGACTTGGGTGGCGGTGGTGGTAAATTAATAAACTGGGGGCCGGACGCTGCTCCCCGACGCGCTTATGCATGTTACGGGGGGAGTGATTGAGAGGGGGTCATCCATCAAAATGTACCAAGATAGATCGCGATTTGATACGTCGAGAGGGGCGACCTTTGGAGCCGTTCTTAATGCTGATTGGTCGGACCGAGAGCGCTGTTTATCAAACTCAGCGACACGGGCTGTCATTGGTCGAGGGTGTTTGGCGATAAGGAACATTATGTGAAGTTTATGAACTCGACGACATTTTTTCCCTTCTCGCGTACGATTCGCCCATTTCTTCTCACAGCTTTGCCTTTTGTGACGAAAAAAAGTTAGTAATAGTCAACTGAAACACCAATGATGACTTCTTGACGTCCATGCCAACAGGGGGATGATTGTAAAGGTCTCGGAGATCCCCAGTGCTTCAGCGCCGGTCACGCACACAGCCTGAGTGAAGAGGATACAATGACTTAACACATCAAAACACTTGTCACATTTTTCATCTTGAGCCGTGAAATTAAGGTGTTTATCTGCGCACGCCCATGACAGTGTATCCGTCACCTCATTATAACGGATGGCTAATTGATGGAACAGTAAGCCTCGCCGTGTATTCCTGCCTCCAGCCTGCAGGGACTTCACCAGCGTGTTCTGCATAAAATATCAACAATAAAACCTGGAGGAAGCCGTGCAATATTCCTAAAACTAAAGTCTCGTCAGGGACCTCTTTTTTTATATGCAATAACCGTTAGGGGCAATGTGTACTTACTTGAGTGATAAAACGATGATACTGGAGAAGAACTCTCCTTTTTTTCCCCTCCGTAGAGACATTCGCGCTCCTACAAATACAATCGATCCACCGGGTGCGCCTAGCCGGGAGAAACCGGTGAGGAATACAGGTTACATCTGGTCAGGTTGACATTTTCTAATATACAACTAATTGGTTTGCCATTATTATTGCGCTGGAAAAAGAAGTAAGCGATAATGTTTTTGTTGAAATGGACCCAGTCACTTTTACAACCAGCTTTGTTACTGTTTTTCTTTGTGTTATGATAGGCCACTTCCTCTTCTACACTTGGCCCCCAAACCGACGCTTTGTTCCGCTGCGTTCGGACCCCGCCAAAAATCCCTGGTCGTCCCAACTACGGCGGCTGCGTCGTCTCTGAGGAACATTGGACAACAAGAAACCGCTTTGTTCTTATTATTGCATTCACCGTACAGCCAATGTGTGTACTTAGTAACGGAGAAATGGTGACAGCTACCCATTGTTCTAGCACGTAGCAAAAGCACACCTTCCCGGGTGCCTTTTTCGACCTGAATGGGGGAAGATTGACCAAGTTGAGCCCAAACCATCGCATTCATTGCTGACTACAATTGCTACTTATGCATGAGATGGCATTATAATCTAATCAATTCTGAATGGAACCACTTACAGGGTGTAAGTGATTGAGGGAGAATTGCATGTACCGCTGAAAGCGACACCGTCCTTTTCTCAATTGCTTTGAAATGTACGCGGCTTTTTGAAGGGCAATAGATGGTAATGAACATATTCATGTTGATTCCCTTTAATTTGCGGCGCGTGCCATTGCTACATTTGTGTGAGTAATTTTCCCCCAAATGCGCATATGACGGTTTGATGGGAAATAGGTTTCAGGAGAGAAAATAGCGTTTTTGAGGTCATTAAAAGTTCGTGCACGTTTGGGGAAGTTTGGCGGGAAATGGGGGAAACACTGGACCGTCAGGACGTCATCAGCACGTACTTGAGTGTAGATTCGCGTGAAAAGTTTACACTTTGTGGTCGTTTGTTTGTGTTCGATCCGTCATAAACCGTTTGACAGGGCGTAGCGACACTAGGCTTACGACCATAGCAAGGTATTAAAACCACTCTACGGCTTTTAAAAATATTTTTCCAAAGAGATAAAAATCCAAATAGATAATGTTTCGTATGTTATGTATACTTCGTATACTATATGAAGATACTGACCGATTTCTCGCAGTCTGGAATAAATGTAAGGTTAACACATGCATGAGAATTGTTTATCCTTATGAAGCTGCCCTTCCGGGTTAAAAGCATATCAAACACGCCCTGGCCGCGCAATATGGCGTGTGGAAGTGTGATAGAAACGTTTTCAAGCGCTGGATCACGGAGGGAGATTACGTGGATGTTTAGATATGCCATTTCGCATTCCACGCAGCCAAATGATGTGTAAAAATGACTTTGTTTTCAGTTTAGTAAGGCGAAAAGACCGGTCCCTTACGTTTGTGTGGTTGTGCCGTGAAGGACTTTGACACTTTGTACGATACAACTAAGCCATGTGCATCTATAAAGTGGAGTAAGCAGACGGAGTGAAGAAAAACGACCGACTCAAAATGACAATGGCTCGGGCTAACGGTCAAGTGGCACAACTTCCGCTGCGATAAATATGTACGTCTCCGGGCCTGGTGTCTACCGCGTTCCTTGGATACCACTGTTACACAAGCGTTAAGGCAGGTGTTCCTATAGAGAACAATACATGCTGGGCTCCATCCACGCCAACTGCAATGTTTCAACACTGTTTCGTACTATGCCTCTTTCGATCACACGTTTTTCAGACATGAAAACAAAATTTGTCAGGAAAGATTTTTTTGAGCCATTTCAAAGAACACGCCCTTTTCTACTATTACGTACATATAAACCTGGAAATTGAAAGAAATGCCTGAGTATTCATTGTTCAATGGGTTGGTTGGGTGGATGGAATAGAAAACGAATCATACCATTGTGATGGTGGATATAATTGGCCCTTAGACGTCCAGAAATGTCGGTTGGAAAAGTTCTTGTGTCGTAAGGCAGTGGTCATTAAGTGTTATTACCTTCTTCACCTCGGGGCTCACCGAGAGAGAAAACAAATATGTACTTTCCCCCACCGAGCGCGAGGGAATGGTGGTCTCCATTGATTAAGCGAGCAATTTATTTCTGAGCTGGAGACGCCGGGAGAGACCGGGCCGCTTCTGGCTGGGACAAACGCCAAGACTAACTGACTGACTCACCCGGCCTGGAATTTCACCTTGGAAATGTGAATATTACGTAATGATGAGTGGCCTGTAACCGCTGTTTTCAAACGCGTTGTTGCACGTGGCCCCCCGGATTTCCACGCTTTCATTTGCGCATAGTTGTACAGCGTAAATAACAATAATAATAACAACAAATGTTGCCTCAGCCCCCTTGCTGATTTCTAACATCATTGTCCTATTGTCCCACACACCTGAAGGATGGGAAAACAAAGGAAACTAAAATCTCTTCAGGTACGACATCCTGTTTGCGTGTGTCACTCGGTGATGGCTAGCAGGAATGCCCATTACGTCTGATACACTATCTTCTCACTTTGTGTCGGACGTCGTGGTCGCCATAGTAACGACACAAAACAAGCATCAAACTACGCGGGCTAGCTAGGAAACCTGTGTCTTAATCTGCTGAGGAGTATCTAAGCAGCAGGACGGAGATGGGAAAGGAGTGGGGGGGGGGCAGAAATGCGATTAGCTCGTCTCGATAAAGATGGGAAGATCTTGGGCTTAAGTGGGATGGATATACATGTAGTATAACAAATATTCAAGATTTATGAATTTAAGCACACGGATTTATATTTGTACACATTCATTTATCGCATTGGTGCGGTACATTTGGGGGGGGGGCATCATCTTAATTATGTTTTCCCTTTTTGATCACTAAGTTGATATCTCCAAAACAACTCCAAACAAATGAAATCTAGGAATGAATCGAGAAAACACCTTTTTTGGAACTCAAGAAACAAACAAGTGAAAAAAGACACGTGCATTTTTAATTGAGAATTAACAAGTCCGTCAGACGCAGAAATAAACCACAAATTACAGGAAAGAATAGATGATGGCCTCGATTTGCCAATATATGTACACCTTACAGACTTTACAGCGTGTTATTTTACTTTGAGCACATGGTACATATGGGAAATATTAGTTAATAAATTCAGACCAGCCACGTCCCAATGTGAAAGTGTGGCCATAGTACAAATTCAACCAGAAGTGCAGGTATTGCCTATGGGTGGGGTTCCTCCGTTTTATGAAGCTCTTCAAAATGTCTAGTGTACCAGTCGACATATGTACATAATAATGAAATTGAAGAGGAATGAAAACAAAATCGCCCGTCATGGATGTGATTATCTTCATAGCAATAAAATTTCATAACTTTCTCATCCTTTATTTCTGAAGACTAGAGCAGAGTTGTTCCCAACTATTGTGGACTTGGCCAGCGGGTTTTCCCCGAGGATGTTGGCGGGCTTGCTCGCGGCTGTTCACCGACTAATTTAGTATATTTCACGGCACTTGGTCACGGGGTTTTCATCGGTCTCCGAGGACCCGCCGGTCGCAGCGCGAATAATCGGCAGAAAAAGAGATGTACATTTCATCTGGGCGCGGTCAGGGGCTGGCAATGACAAAAATTACGGTGTAACTACAAAAAATTACTTTGTAACTTAATCTATAAAAAATGTACGCTTTTTGAATGCTGAAAATAAATCTATTTTCTCTCATTCCGTTATTTCAATCAACTTTGCTTCAATATACATTCAGATCATGAACAAGAAAACGTTGGCAAGCCACCTGCTTTCCTCAAAGAGAAAGGAGCAGGAACACTTTCACTTTCAACACATCGTGGCAGCGTGAAACGATCGGTCTTTAGAGAAACGATCTTCCGATTGTGATTTTTAGCGAAAAAAATTGTAGAAACGATTTTCAAGATGTCAAACATTTGAGAAATAAATGCAAAATAACGCGAAATACATAGATATAGTGATGACAAAATAAAGGCAATATAGAGTCCATTCCGCGTCACCGAGTGGGTTTTTTCTCCATGTTTCTAATACATTTGAATTATTTAGAAGAAAAGAATATCCCAGTAACAAAAGTTCTAAATTTTTCAAAAATTTGAAAATGAAAATTTGAATATATTTGAATTCATTTATATATTTCTGAAACATTTTGAATGTGACTGTACAAAGATCTCTTTCTTTAGAATAAATTTGAACTACCCATGTGTTTCTTTCACAATTCGAAA